ATTTTATATATATTTTATAGAGAGGAGAAAAATTTACAATTTATAATTTCTAATAACTGTAAAGATTTATTTTTATATATCACATCTCTCTCTTTTCTTTTCTTTTTCTATCTTACTGTTAAAAAAAATATATTTAAAAAAAATTTTCTAAAATTTTCAAAACGTTTGATGAAATTTCATGAATTTCAATCGTATTTTACGTTGAGCATGACTAACTGGCGCACCTTGACGGTGGGTCTATTTTGTTCATCAGGTGATAGTCTCGTCTCCCGGTTCACCTAGCAGCGAGGAATCAGAGGCTTCGCCAGAGCCGATTAATAAAGGTCTTCTGGGCGGTCTGGGATACGAAAAAAATGACGAGACGACGACAACGATGACGATGACGACGATGACGACGACGACGACATCGAGCACTTCGGGCGGTATCGGCGTCAACGTAGGCGCCGGTGTCGGCATCGAGCAAATAACACCTACGAGCAGCGTCGATACGGAGGAGGGCAATCCCCAGCATCCCGAGGAGGGTGAGAAAGGCGTTGAGGGTGACGTCGAGGCGAGCGACGACGATCGACACCAGCACATACCTAAAACGCATTAATTGCGACTCGGTGTCGTCGCGTAGGTGTGCGCAGTGAGTAATGGAGAGACCACGGAGAGACCACGGAGACGACCATTCCTCATCGAAAACGCGGACAAACATTCGAGATTGAGGATTGTTTTGTCACCTCGTACTTGTAGTATTGACGGACAAAAAGAGACAAGCCGAGGGGTTAAACCAATCGGTTCGAGAAATAAAATAGAATTAGCAAAAAGCAGCTTAATTAATTTCGTTGAAAACTGTTAATTTTATAGAATCGTCCTGTAGACATTCTCGGATTATCAGGGCCGCTCGTTTAGCTTTAAATATTTGATAGAGCGCGTCGAAGTGATTTGGATCAAAATCCAACACGGTGCTAATACTCGAGTGTCGATTCGTAAAAATCTTCGTTGCGCACCCCAATCGAGAACTATGGTGATCGATTGATTCTAGTCTATTCTGTTGGGTATACTTGCTTGCAAAAAGTTGTTAAAGTTAAATGGAGAACAGGATAAAAGGAAATAAAAGAAATGATCTAGCTCGGTTAGTGTTACTAGATTATGCTGAAGTTGCTACGTAACGAAATAAAGAAGAACTAAGAAAAAGACTAAGAAATTTACGATGGTAAATTTCTCCTTCGAACGTTACGTCTCAATTTATCGCCTCTTTTGATGAAATTGAATTTCGCGAGAAATAAAAGGAGGTATGCGACATTAAATATAGTCATAAAACAGTAGCGCTACCGAGATGATCAACCAAACGAAGAGTCATGGGGAACTATGATTGTTATTCGTTATAGAGAAAAATAGATCAAGAATCGATGTACGTATATCCGTTTTGTCAGAAACAGATGCAACTCAGACCGAACTGACAGACAAGCAACGAGTTGAAAGCAGTTTATGATATGTTATTAAAAAAATTGCTAGGAGTCGTCTAGCAATTCGAACACGTTTAATTCTCCGTATGTCATGAGATTTTCTTCGAATACACTCAATGGTCCTTTAATTTACGGTCTCTCGAAACAAATATTAGATCGCAGATGGATCCATCACGCACACCTTGCCCTTAATGCCACTTTCTGGGCTACTAAAAAGGAAGAAGAGAAAGAAGAACAGGGAGAAAGAGACGGGAAATTGTCTCTTCGCGTCGTCATTGTCGGCATCACTAACGTCAACACGATCCACATAAACACACACACACACACACACACACACACACACACACACACACACACACACACACACAAACTACATGCAAAGCCGGAAGACCGGTCAACGAAGAAGAGGCGCATGTGCATACATAATAATCAATTTATATACGATATACTATATATACATATTATATATACATACATAGACTAGTCACGATATTACGTGTGTGCTTTTGATAAAAAACTATTACTTGTAGCATTAGCTAGCTCTCGTATACAGAAACAAAAAGATACATGAACAAACAAACTGACAAACCAACAAACAAACAGTTAAACTAGACGATATATATAATATACATAAAGATGTTATACATACGCTGAAAAAAGAGGGGGGCGCGAGGGACACGACGGCGTTTCTACATGTCGACAATAGGACATATAGGCGGATTCGTTTGGACATGCTTGCATCAAGGGTATAGATATAGTATCGGGCAATCAATTGGCTATTGTATCAATACCGGGCGCTCGATTGTCCGAGATTGGCTCGCGGGTGATTCAAGTAGAAGAAGAAGAAGAAGAAGAAGCAAGAGAGTAACTGACTGCCGCCGCGGGAGAAACTGACCGAAAACGATAATAATTACGAGTAGACAGAGAGAATGCTACGATTAATAATCTATAATTTTAAAAAGAAATCGTAAAAACAAGTAAAAAATAGCCAGTATTATTATACATTTAAAGCTGTAAAACGATGATCGAAGCGAGAGAAAGAGTACGTGAGTGAGTAAACGAGAGCGCGAGAGATGAGGAGAGAAAGTGAATGAACTAACGTAAAAATAACAAACGATTAAGTGGAAAAAAAGGAGGAATATTAAACGTAGACGCATCCCTCATCGTCGTGATTGTTGAGAACAATCGAGCGGTGATGAAATCACGCACTACGATCTGGAGAAAAGTCACCAATGCTGATCGCGACTCGTCATAGTTATCGCTGTACACACATCGTTATCGCGCGATCTCACTCGTGGCTTGGTTCGCGATGAAGAGAGGAAGAAAAAAAAGGGAGGAGAAGAGAAGCACTGTAATCTGTATAAACACGCACGTATAAATAGATATTATACACATCCGCGTAATCACTTCTTTCCGCACAGTTATCGTTACCGCGCGAGAGTATTCAAGGGTTTAGAGCGAAAGATATACCGGCGGGGTGAGAAGAACAGGAGCAGGGGGTAAAGTTTTAATTGAAATAGCCGCGAATTCGAGACTAATTGTATAACTGAATGTAACATGTACATATAATATGTATATACGAGCCGCCATACGCAATTCTAGCTGTATTTCCAATCCCAGATGATGTGTGTGCGTGCATGAATGAATGAGTGCGCGCGCGCGTGTGTGCTGTGTGTGCGCGTGTGTGTGTATCTGTGTGGGCGCGCGCGCGAACAAATGAGCGATGAATGCCGGGTACCGAAGTGTCTTCTTCCATTTTCTCTCCAATTTAAAAAATTAATTTTCCGAATAAGATTCCTTTTTGCAAAAATAGATTCATTTGGCGAGTAAAAGCTTGCGATTGCAATTCTTTTATCTTAAAAAATTCTCGAAATTATTTGCGAGACATAATATTCTCACTACTAAATCATTGCTCACGAGACTAGAATAAAATATATATTTACTGAATATTTATTTCGAGTGTTGCGAATTTTCAATTGTTTTCTTCTGTAGATCGTAATTTTTCAATTTGTTCCTGCATTATCAAATTTTTTTCTATTGCTGATTATGATTAAATATTCTACTGACACTTGATTATTCTTGATCATTTTTGCAAAGGTATTTCAGGCACGCTTTTATGTTATATTAGATTGTCCCGTCAGATTAAGATATGACATAGTTCCACTATCGTTTCCACTCGCTCGTAGAGGAATTGAATAACCATTTTAAATATAAACAAACGCAAGCCGTGTTGTTACACATTAACATTTAGCATTTTTAGTATCCTAGACAGAAATTATAGATGTGTCGCACATATTATTTCGTAAATATGCATGAACAATGGATGTATTCGTGTCTTTAATAAGAAATCTTTAATGTTATTTGCTTGCGCTTAAAATTACACTCTATAAGTCTCAGTCCATAATAGGTATTTAATCTTTAAGCCGTAAAACATTGACCAATCATAGTCAATTATTCTTTTTATATTCAATTATGATTGGTCAATTTCTTACTTCTTAAAGCTTGAATCATCTATTGTGGACCAACACTAATATGTAGGCTTATGAATCTTTATATAAAATCTTGATTTTTAATATCGACTTAATCTTGTGAAGAAGAGATAAATATAAACACAAAGACGGTATCCAGTGTTCCTTGCCGTCCTGATTTTAGTAATAAATTGATTATACGAGAGAGAGAGAGAGAGAGAGAGAGAGAGAGAGAGAGAGATGAGAGAGAGAGAGAGAGAGAGAGAGAGAGAGAGAGAGAGAGAGAGAGAGAGATAATA